GCTTCTTCCTGTTCCCTTTTCGAACATGAATTATGTTTTACATTATATTTTGCTGGAAATTTTATGTTGTAACAATTTATTTTATTTGTTGTTGTGTTTTTCTCCTGTATGTAACATGTATGTATACTGTATGTATGTTTTATTTTACTATTATTATTATTATTTTTATTATTATTAAATTCTTTGAAATAAAAATTAATAAAAAAAAACCTGAAATATACTGAGTATTTTAAAAGAGGAACATCCTCACGGATGAAGTGAGAAACTTACTTCTTTAACAGTGAACGGGACTCCTCTGAGCTTTACTGTGAACTCCGTCGTGGGCTCCATCTGAAACCRACAAATACAAATAAAGAGACGTGCCACTAAAAAGTGTTAACCTGCACATTTGTCTCAACAGTCACCTCCTGTTTGGCACTTTTTTTCACTTTGCTCGGTCTCTTCTCTGCAGGGGAGGTTTTTGCCAGTGAGACGTTTTCACTGCTCTCGTAGGCGCTGTCTGCATRCTTAGCCTGAGCTTCCTTCTCCTCCTCTTCATCACCTTCATCATTCTCCTCTGCGTCTCGTGTTTGTACCACCTTTGAGCGCAGGTAGTCCATATCTGACAAACCAGACTGCACTGCTTCCTGAGACGCAGCTAAAAAACCAAGAATTCAAACATTAAATTTGTTTAAGTTTGAAATATTTATATGTAGAATCTGTACAGTATATTGTATAATTAGTAGCATTAGGGAATAATAAGCATATTTCCCCAAAAATGGAGCATAGTTTTAATCAACAAATGCCAAAAGAGTTGCCCAACCTTCACTGTCATCATCATCCTTGTCTTCATCCTCTGATTCCTCAGAGTCAAAGTTAAGATAATCATCAGAAGCCGGCTTCTTGCTTTTTGTCTGTCTGCTGCCAGGACCAGCAGTTTCCTGAGCCATGTCGTTGGCCCAGGTTGGAGCTTGGCTGCGGTTCTGATGCACCGACAGAAACTCCTTAAAACCTTCCTCCTCCTCCAGCTAACAGAAAACAAGAACACATCATGATAAAACACTGTACACACTTTGAAATTTGTGAAAAGCAATTTCAAATTACATAATAACATTTACATTTTTGAATGAGCACGTTTGATTGGAAATAATACATTTAGGCATCAGCTGTAACAGTTTGTGTTTACTTTCATACAGGCACACTGAAGTTAAATAAATAACACTCACTTTTCCCAGAGCACTGTTGGCTTCATCTTTCTGTTTATTTTTCTAGATTAAAAAAAATGCACAAAACAAACATTTAATTTGACTAATGCCTGTGATCAGAAACCAGGCTGAGATTTTCCCTGCTGTCACCTTTTTATTGTCAGTGGCTTTTGAAGGAACTGGAGGATTGTCCTGCTCTGATTTCTGGGTGTGTTTACTCCAGGATTTCCCTTTAGTGGGGTCTCCAAATGCTTTACACATTTCCACCTGCACAAACAACAACAACAAAAACAGGTTTATAGGTGGATAAAACTGAAAACAACACRCAAAGCTCAGCGTCAGTCACCGACAGCCCATACCGTCACTCTGGATGTGTCCACGAAGCTCTTGTTGAAATGTGTCAGCGCTCTGCTCGCGTCTTCCTCGGATTTAAACCCAACAAAGCCGAACTTTCGGAACTTCCCTTCTTTGGTGAACTTCAGAGAGCAGTCTGTCACGGTGCCAAAGGCAGCGAACATCGACCTGAACCTTTCCTCCTTCATCTAAACAGAAACATTTTGTCATAAGTTTCGGGTGCACCGAAAAATGGAGCTAATGCTAATTTGCTAGCTGACACCAGGTTCTTACTCACCCCGTTGGGAAGGTTTTTAACGATGAGTCTTGACATGGCTGTGGCAGCTGTAAATCCACTAACACGTTTTAAATATGAGTWTTAAAAATATGTCAACAAACCAGCGTGGACAGTTCAACTAAGTCGCCATATTTGAAGCTAGAAAGATTTTTCTTCTTTGGCTGTGGGGGTTTGCAAGCAAGTGAATATTATCTCCCCCYTATGGCCAAACCTGTGAACTGCATCCTTTCCCCTCAGTGACTGAAACTAAAGTACAGTACTAGACAAGAAATATTGCAAAAAATAAACAAAAGTAATATAACAGTAATTCTTTAGATTTTGGTTGCATTTTTACTAATTTTGTGAGCTTAAAATATTCAGGAAAATAATGAAAAGGTTTTATTATAAACTTAAAGCTTATTTAACAGAACTGACGAACAAGACTTCTTTCAGTGAAGACTTCTAATCTGACTGTTGTCATGTCAGGTTTTGATCAGGCAACAAATTTTTGCTAGAGCCC